TCTGAAATATGCTTTAACCATATCCCACACATTTTGAGGTAATGTTTCTTCTTTCTTGTTTATTTTGAAGAAAAAATCCATTTTATTTTATCTAGTTGTAGAAATTCTTTTTCTTTCAATATAGATTTATTCAAGGACTGTCTTAATTTTTTCTTAGTTCCTCTCCAAGTCATCTTTATTGGATTATGATCTGCCCAAACGTTAGATTCTATCTCAATTTCTTGTATCATTGTATTAAGTTCCAAAGATGTCCATATCATATCAGTTCTAGAACATGATTTATGTCTATTTGAGTAAAATATATATTGTAATTTCTTTGGATTTTTTTCTCTCCTGTCATTTTTAAAAACACTTTAGGTAATATATTTTCTCCTTTTCTCCCTTGTTTAGTGCTTTTATAGTCCAAAGTTCCATCAGTTATTGCATTAAAGTCTCCTATTATACAAATATTTTGATAGTTTAAATCTAATATTTTTTATGTAATTTTTGGTAAAATTGTTCTTGTTTATTATTTGGTGCATATATTGCTACTATCAGTATCTGGTTTTGATCCATCATTATTTCCACTATTAATATTCTCCCCTCTTCATCTGCATGCATTAGTTTAAGGTACATCGTTTCTTTAATGTATAATGTATAGACCTCTTTTCTTTTGAAGTGCTAATGCAAAGTGAAATTAACCAATTTTTGGTTGTTCTAACAACTTATAATGTCTCTTAATATGTGTTTCTTGAAGACAAATTATATCCATTTTTAATTTTTGTAATCATGTAAAGTTTATTCTCCTTTTTGAAGGAGAATTTAGTCCATTTATATTCATTGACAAAATCCCACTCTCCTCCATCTCTTTCAATTATATCTAGGTCTTAATCTTCTAGTCAATCTTATCTGTCTCTGATCTCTTGGTCTTGCTCCTTCTTCTGTATATGTGTTTTTAATTTCTTCCTTCTCTCTTGGTTTGACTGTTCCTTCTACTGCCATTTCTGTTTCTTTGTTTCTCTCTTTGTTCCAGATTCAGAGTCACCTCCTTCCAAAAATGCTCTATAGTTGTCGAAGAATTCCATTGCTTTAAGTGGCATATCCAGTCTATATCTTTTTGTATCCCAGTAGATTAAAATCCCTTCTGGAATCAGCCATCTGAAATTCACTCCTTTTTTAATTAATTTCCTAGTTAGAAACTGGTATTCTCTTCGGGATTCTCTTATTCTCCTAGGAATTTGTTTGAGGACTACAATTTCTTTTTTCTTTGTATTTCAAAGGTTCATCACTTACTCTTCACAAAATCTCGTCTCTCGTAATCTTTTAAGAAATCTAATATATACTTCCCTGGGGACTTTATTTCTTCTAGCATAGTTTGAGTTGACTCGATAGATCTGGTCTAATTCTCTTTCACTTGCTGTTTCCCAGTTTCTAATGCATCTGCCAATAATTCTGTTATCAAGTCTAGGAGAACTCTTCCTTATGTTCCATTATATTTGAAATCTTAAAAAGTATGAGGCTCTTTCCATCTCCAGCCCAGCTATTGAGTCTTCTAGTTCTTCATTTATTTGGATCAATTTCTGATTTTCACCTTTTAAAACTTATAGTTTCTGTTCAACCTCAGTTGATTTATCTTCTAATTTTTGGATTCTTTGTTGATTATCTGTGATCATCTGCTTAAAATTTTCAAATTAGCAGTCCATGTTGTTAGTTTTTTTATTCATTTTATCAAAATCACTTTTCAGCTCCTCATGGTTTCTTGTTGTGACCGACTTGTGAGTAGTGATTGCCTCTTGAATTGTTTGTAGGGTCACTTGAGTTTCCTTTTGGAAGTTATTAGCCTTTTTCTTGTTGAAGCATTGTATCAATTGATCTCTGGTAGACTGGACTTGCAGAAACCAAAGAGGGAGAAGAAGATCTTTTTTTTCCAACTTTAGATAGGTTGGGGGCATTCATCATTGTCTTTAAATCATACTTTGTAATCCACCAAGTAAGCCAAAATTTATAATCCAATAGGCTCCTAACAAATAGAAGAGGTAAATAATAAAAATAGTAAATGGTAAAAAAGAGCAAAAGGGAAAAAAGAAAAAAAATGTATACCAAAATTTGTAATCCAAAGTATTCTGTTCAAAGGGATTTCTTATTATTCACTCTTTCAAAACAGTTTGTAAAGATTCCAAGTCAAGCTGTATTTGTAATCCAGGGAAGTCCGATGACTTCAAACATAGTTTTTATTTATAATTGTAATCCATCCTGTAGGACAGGGCAATCCAAAAAGAGTCTTTTCTTTTTCAGCCACAATCTTCAGGCATATAAATTCTAAGGACACCAAAATGTTTAAACTATAAGCTATGTCTGGGCATACAGCCAAGTTTTAAGACCACAATCAAAACAACTGAGTAAAATAAAAGAGAAAAAAATACAAAATTAAATGTAATTCTCAGTTTTGTCATTAGATGTCCATTCCCACCATACTTTAAAAAAGTTTAAAAAGTTAAAACCTGATGGTTTCCAAACAAACAAAGAATTAAAAAAAAAGATTTATAAATCCAAAAGTTTCCCCAATTTATCTTTCTTTTATGCCTCAGTTATCTTCACCGTGTTGTTATGCCAGTTTTAATTCCCCCAAGGCTTAAACCGCTGCTTATAGTTCAGGAGGGAAGGGCAAAGAAAAAAAAGCCCCCGCCTCCCTGAAGCTTGGGAATTTCTTGCTTTTGAATGCTTTTTCCCAGAACCAGTATTTTTGCTTGTAGAGAGAAAAGGAAAGTAGTCTCACCTGGATCAGCTCTTTTGCCTTCCGCTTTTAAAATTCATTGTCTCTGATGATCAGCTGCTTCTGGCAGACCACATGGGTGCAGTCAGCCTTTCTTCCTGCCGGTCCCGAGGGCTCCTTTGGATCAAGCGGGCCAGCTGACTTTTGATCCTATTGGACTCCCTAGCTGGTAGAAATCAGGCTTGGGGAAGGGAGCTTCATTCCCCAGCACCCTCTTGCCTACTGATATTCTTTTTTAAAACGTATTTATTTCAAAGATAGAATATTAAAAAAACTACAGGAATAATGAAACAAGAAAGAAAAAAATTATAAACACAACAATAAAATCAATAATTATAAAGTGTGCCAACATTAAACATACATCATCCCCCTTGGTTGACTGTTGACAAATATGTCTCAAATAAATCTAATAAATCCCCTACCCTGCACATTGTGTGTACAAATAATTATAAAGTTTCTCATCTATACTTGCAATATTTACTATATTACTATTTTATATCACAGTTGTTTAAAAATAACTCAAATATAGAAATCTAATATCTATCAATCAGATTGTTAACTGTAAAAGGGAAATCTGTTAACTAGAGGTCCAAAGAAATAAGCTATTCTTAAAGTCTCTTTTAACAGTCTATAATTATATTAAACTCCCAGAAACTCCATAGACAACTCTCATTCTCTTATAAACAGGTCCAAAACATTGTCTCTAAGTCAGTGGACCCCAACCTTTTGGGCACCAGGGTTCCGTGGAGAGAAGCTTTTCCATGGACCAGAGGGGGCGTGGTTTCATGTGCTGCCTACATCCCCCAGATGGTGCTTCACTTGTTTGCGTGGCCTTGTTTCTGGCATGCTGCAGACCAGTGCCAGTCCACGGACTAGGGGTTGGAGGCTCCTGCTCTAAACCAAACAGTTAATTTCACCATCTTTGCAAACTCAATCAGTTCCAGTTGATCCTCTTTCATCCATTTTGTAATTTCTTATAATTAAATCTTTTACATTAATATCTTTTCCCACATTTTCTGGTAGGCCTCTAATTCTTAAGTACTGTAAGCCTTTTTTCCATCTGATCCATTCATAATAAATTGGTTATTAATTCCATCGTTATATCTAACTTTTCTTCTCTTATATGTATATTCATGATATCTTTTTCAGTTGATTTAACCAGTTGCACATTCTTCTAGCCTATTTTTCTATTTAAGCTTTTTGCCACTATTTCCAAAGAGCTCATTTTTTTAATTTTTAAAATTAAGATAATTTTTTGCTCAAAATACTCTACAAGAGATTGAACCCTAAACTCCTCTAATTTGCTTTCTTTCTTTAAAAGCATTAATAGTAGTAGCCAATTAAATACACAGCTTACCTGATCTTTTCAGCAAATTGAAGGTTAGAAGGTTAGAAGCAGTGGGGCCTCTTTTTGTTATGTTCATAACAGAGAGCAAACTGAGATAATAGTTCCCATAGTAGGTAGGAAAAAAAGTGGAGGATTTCCCTCTTCTTAATTCAAAGAACAAGAGGCAGAAACAATATAAAAAACTTGAGAAAATTTAAAGTTGGTACGTAGAAGCCTTTCTGTAAATAGTCAAAACAATTAAAGTCACTTGCGCGCAAAAAAGAAGACCAAGATTGCCACCAATATTCCTTCTGATAAAGCAAATAGAAATCTCCTCATGACTTTGAATACAATAATTAAAATCATTAATAGCAATCCATCAAGAGATATCAAGCTTGGCAATGAACTTACCCACGTATCAAAAATAACAAAAAAAACTTACCGACTTATCAAAAATAACAAAAAACAGCAAGAAAAAACATTATAAAAGTGAAAAAGTAAAAGTAGAGCAGTATCTTTAGTACGTGGACAGTGGTCAGACAAGATCTCCTATCCCTGCTTTCCTTCTTACACTCACCCTAGGTCAAACCAACCAGTCAGTAAGCTATCTGAAAGCCCTATGGTGGAATTCTGAGATGCTCTTTTCCAACCCAAGAGCTTTGGCTGCCAAAAAAAACAGCTTGGTAGCTGTCTACTGGCAGAGGGGGAAAAAAGGACTCTGCCACTCAGAATGCCATTTTCTGGAGAACTCCCACTATTGACATCAATACTGACATACTAATTAACAAAGTATCCTGCAACTTCCCTCAACAGAGGGTGAATGGAGGCTTTGAGGAGAAGATACAGAGACAAAATGCTTAACTGAGTGTCTTGTGCAGACCTTACTTTTCACACTTCTAATTTGCTTCATTCTTCCTTTAGATTACAGAAACCACATTAAAAAAACATTTGAAAAAATGAAAGATCCTAATGCTGTTCTTGGTGAATATGTGCTCCTGAATCAGAGATACTCAAAGCTAATCATCCTAGATGATCACCGTTCTAAAGAAGAGAGAGAACATGAAATTATGGCAACAGGAAGGAAACATGTTGAAATCATTAGCAAGAGAGCGAAGTCTTCAACCAGCCTTGAAAAATTATTTAATCCTGATAAAAATGGATTCATTCCACAAGTTGTTGTGTTGCAAGGAGCTGCAGGAATTGGAAAAACTATGATGGCCAAAAAAATCATGCTTGATTGGGCTTCTCAAAAACTTTACCAGGACAAATTTCATTATGTTTTCTATATTAGCTGTAGAGAGATGAATCTTGCAGAGACAGAGGAGAGTAGCATTGAAGATATAATTTCTAAACAATGGCCCAAGTGTCATGCAGTGAAAAATATACTACAGAATGAAAAGGAGATTCTGTTCATTATTGATGGGTTTGATGAATTAAAGTATTCTTTTGATCTGTCTAAAAACTACTTTTGTACTAAAACCCGGAAGAAGGAGCCAGTGAGAATTATTTTGAGTAGTTTATTTCAAAAAAAGCTTCTTCCTGAATCTTATCTTATAATCACAACAAGACCAACTGCTTTGGAGAAACTCGATCAATGTTTAGGGGACTCACGTTATTTTGAGATATTGGGTTTTTCCACACAGGAGAGAAAAGAATTTTTCTACAATTTTTTTGAAAACAAAGAAGCAGCAATTGAAGCTTTTAGCTTTGTTAAACAAAATAGTATACTTTTCACCATGTGTGTCATTCCCCTTGTGAGCTGGATCATTTGCACTGTGATGAAACAGGAAATGGAGAGAGGCAAGGATCTTCTGAAGGCACCGTGCACCCTTACTGAAATCTATATGCTGTATCTCTCCAGTTTGTTAAAGTTTCACCACAAAGAATCCAAACAGGATGTCCAATCATATGTGAAAGGCTTATGCTCCTTGGCTGCACAAGGAGTCTGGAATCAAGAAACATTGTTTTTGGAAGAAAAAGTGAAGATGCACAGTTTGGATCAAGGAGACCCTCTTCCCCTTTTTCTGAATCAGAGCATCTTCAAAAGGGACATTGATTGTATTCAAACCTTCAGTTTCATTCATTTAAGTTTTCAGGAGTTTTTTGCTGCTTTGTTTTATCTCCTAGAAGAAGAAGAGGAGCAACGTTCTCCAAATCAGGATAAAAATTTGCAGACACTGTTAGAAAGACATAAATCTTTTAGGCCTAACTTTGCAATAGGATCTCACTTCCTCTTTGGTTTTTTAAATGAAGAAAAAAGAATGACAATGTTAAAACAAGAATTTGGATGGAAAATTTCTCCTAAGAATAAAGAATTCTTATTAGACTATGTGAAAAATAATTTTAAAAAAAGTAGACATAATTTCCAATTGCAAAAAGAAATGTTTAGTTATTTATATGAGATACAAGATGACAATTTTGTAAAAGATGCAGTACATGAAATCACTCAAATAGAGTATGAGTGCAACTCAGATATGGATTTGATGATCCTAGCCTATTGTGTACAACACTGTCACAATTTGACCTATCTCGATGTTGAAGTCCCTGAATCGCTGTATATTACAGAGACCGATTTTTTTCTAGAAAATAAGTAAGTATTTTTGAAAGTATGTTGAACATTTCACCCAGTTTATGATCTTGCCAGCATTTTCTCTAACCTATTGTCCCACATATAATAGACCCAAAAAATGTCACTTAGGAATTTGCATAAATGTCTTTGGGCAGCTAAGTTAAAAAGGGCTCTCAGTCATGGCTTGGGCTGGATAAGTTGGGAGGATGTTTAAAAATGAAAAGTTGTCTATTGTTGAGACCAGCCCCAATCTATTCCCCTTGCACTTAAAGAGCCTGATAATTATATCACCAGGAAGTGGTCAACTCAGCTCAAGATCAGAGAAGTAATTGCTGTTGAGATATAGAGGCTATAACCATTTTACAGTAAATAAACAAACACTGTAGCTAAAAAAACCCTTGATTTTTTTTAATACATAGCCCAACATTGACATTCTTTAAAGACTGATTAGAAGCTCACTTGGCCATAGCTAAGTTAAGGGTGTTTCTCCCTTTAACCAAAAAGAGTTACATTCAATGCCCTCAAATGATCATGGTACTGTATTTGAAAGTTTCATTGCATATAAAACTTTTCAGCTTAAATGGCAGATAACGTAAGAAGGCGCTTCTATAATAATTGGAAACTTCTTAAGCTCCTCTCTTAAAACAAAGAGAGATGATAGAATATAGATTATATTCCCAACCTACTGGGTCCTACAGCCTACTCCTCACCATGTGTCACCCATCACACACTCAGCTTTAGAAGAGCTCTGGAGCTTCACAGATTGTGTTATAGAAGGAGGGAAGGTTGTTTTGTTCTGAGACATGTGGCATGATGCAGCTGTTATTTTCAGGACAGCCAATCCAAAATGGTGCTCACTTCTGGAAGTGTTAGCAATTAAACAGCTTGCTCTTCTTCTCCAATCCAATCTAGAGAGTTCTGCAATTCTTCACAGCACTCTGTAGATCACATTGGAGAAGAAAATCGAGCTTCTTCATCCATAAACTGCATGGCTCGCTCCCAGAAGTGAGTGCCATTTTGCAGTGTTCACAATTCATTGCAGATGGTCTGAAAATGGCACTTGCTTCTGGAAGAGGACAATATATAGGGAGAGAGCAGCTTCTTCTTCCCCAATGTGATCTTCGCAGCACTATGGATAGCTACGGAGATCTCCCCAATGTGATCTCCAGAGCTTTCATAAGGACATCTACAAAGATAAGTGATTGGTGATGGTGGGTGGGGAGGAGTGTGTGAGACCTGGGAAGTTGGGAAGCATGCCCAAAGCCTGTGGAAAGCCTAAGGGGTGGGAAGCAGAGAATGTCATTCCTCAGGGGTGTAGGAGCCTTAGGAGACCCAGGGCAAAGTCTGCACTAGGACTCCCACGGCCTCCCACCAAGCCCCTAATGAACCCTGTGCTTCATTTATTAAACACATTGGGGAGAGCATGTTGGGGGAGGGGGGTTATAAGGGAAGCAATGATATGGGTGCTTCACTTAGTGGCCACTGTGACCTCTGACCATAATGGGCAAGCTCCATCACGGTTGTTAGTTGAGGACCACCTGTAACCATTTTATTTACAAAATAGTCTTTTTCTACTAGTAATTTCCCATACTGCAATATGAGTGCATTTATTTGTGATTACTTTTCAAATGAACTGAAAGCCTATTATATTTGCAAATTAGAGGAACTAGAAACACCGAAGTAAAGTCTGAAGAGCACAAACATCTTTCCACTTTAGGGAATGGAGTTTGGATGAAAAATATGTGGAAGACTTCTTTAAAGCACTGAAAAAGCTGACAGAATTAAGAGTCCTGAGGTAAGAAACTGCATGCATTTTATCCTAGATGCTTTGATACAGAAACCTTTACATATACTGGCTTTACTGGGGTTCCTGTAGTATTGGAACTGGATGTTAGCTGAAGCATTGAGAGACAAGGAAACAGAGTTTAAAAAAATATAAGGAAGGATAAATCATTATCATTGGAATTCCTTGATGAAAGGCAGAACAAAGTATTGGAGAGCCGCCTCTGGAGTGAGAAAAGAGATAGTCAGGGCTAGCGATGTAAAATTTCTGGAAATTTTGAAGCCATGAGAAAAAAATGTTTTTTCCCTGTTTTTTTCTGGAAAAAAATAGAAATTTTTGAAAAATTGAAAAAACAATTCAGTGTGGAATAGTTTTATAAATTGCAAGAAATGCAGTCTCTGAAAAAGTATTATGCTATCAATAAAACAGGTGATCACCCCCTTTTTCCTCAGAAGCAAGAAACCATCAACATAAAAAATAATCAGATTTTTCCCCTACTACCAATAGCAAATAAAGTTAAGATCCACCTCAATAATTAAACTGCATAGGCTGATGGCGGCTATCTCTTAGCCATCCGCCTGAGAGTGTGTCAAAACCGCGGAGACAGCAGACAACAGCTGACCCGTGGTTCGGAACTTCTCTCCCCGGGCGAAGGGGAGGAGGTGAGCTCTCCTTGGATAGTGGTAGAGTTCCCCAAAACCCTAAAATTTCTTTTTTTGGGGGGGGTCGGAGGGTGAGCTCCCACGGAGTCCAAGGCTTCTCCACATTTCAGATGTCTTTGTTCTTTTTTTGGACAAAGCAAGACGCTGCTTCCACATCTGCGCTTAAAGTGAACTTGTGAGTAAATTTTAAAGCAGACAGAGCTGACCAGGAGTATTTATAACTGTGATTATCTTGGAACTTTAACTCTGGAAAAGAATTAATCTTCTCCTTTTCTTACAATTATAAAAGAGGTTAAAATGGCACTGGGATGTTTTCTTCTGTGAGCGAAAGGAAAGAAAGAACTTTCACTTGGCTACATTTGGCTACAAAGTTTGAATAACGTAATGGATTTTGGTTATTGATACAAAAGACAATAGTTTTACTTTTTGTTTTTTTATAGGGGGCTTTTTGTTTTTCCTTTTTCTCTCCCCCCTTTGTTTTTGAGATACTAGTTGGTTTCTTAAGAAGTAGTTTTATAAATTAAAATGGCTTCAAAGCATCTCGCGACTTCTGCTGTACCTAAAGCTTCGATCTCTTCTCCGGTTATACAGACTGTTCAACAAGCTAAACCCAGGTCACCACCACCTTCTCCACCACCAGCATTTACGTTAAAAGACTTACAAGATGCCTTGGGAAAAGCAGTCCCACAGATTAGAGGAGAAATGGAGGAACTTTTAGAGGACAGAAATAGGGAAATGAGGGAGGATATAGTACTTGCTTTGCAAGGACTTGCCGCCCATGTTGAGAGGCTGGGTGATCGTATTGATGATGTTGTGGAGAAGGTTGAAGGTCTGGAAGATCAGGTTGGTAAAGTGGAAAATAAGGTGGAAATGTCACAGGATGAAATTATCATGTCTCAATATAGAGATATGGAATTTGCTTTAAGAATTAGAGGCTTGAAGGAAAACATGCAAGAAAATCTGAGAGCTGGTGGTGAAGGATATAGCTTTGATTTTGGGGTGTGAACCTGAAGAAATATTGAGAGATATAGAAAAAATATTTAGAGTTAATTCATGGATTGCGAAGCAGAGAAATTTACCAAGAGATGTGGTTATTTACTTCGCAAGGAGATCGCTTCGTAATGAAATTATACAAGCGTTTTACAAGCAGAGATTTCAAATTGCTGCTCAAGATGTCATGATTTTAAAAGAAATTCCTCCAAAAGTTTTAAGAAGAAAGGATTTTGCCTTCTTGGCTGAAAATGCTTAAAAAACGACAGCTTCAGTTTAGATGGGAGATACTGGTCGGAATAATGGTGAGCTATGCGGGGACACGTTATAGACTTAACACAATTTCAAAGGCGAAAGATTTTTATATTTCTGTCCTGGGAGCAGGCTCACCACCATCTCCACGATTTAATATATCAGAGGAGAAGTTGGGAGAACAGCCAACTGAAGGTGCTATCTTACTGGGGGCTGGAGAAATACAGGTTGAATCTTCACAGCAGCTTTTTGAGATAAAAGAAATTTCAAAGGAACAGAGAGTGACCCAAGCAGCTCATAGACGTAAAGAAAAGGAGCAACAGAAGGTGGAGGCAAGAGTATTAATACAAGAATCGATTACTTCTGAGCCTGTGGGAGGAGCAAGACCGAAAAGATCTTCAACAGCGGATCTTCATGCAGTCTTTTCCAGGCTTCAAGCCAGTAGGGATGGCAAAGCTCCTGACTTTGAATGTTAATGGCTTGAATTCTCCACAGAAAAGAAGGAAAGTATTTCATTATTTGAAGCAATATAATAATGATGTTGTATGCTTGCAGGAAACTCATATTACTTTAAAGGATCAAAAGTATTTGATTAACTCTCGGTTGGGTTTACATTTTATATCCTCTGCTTCGGAAAAAAAGGGGGTGTTGTTATTTATGTTAAGAAGCACCTATCAGCCAAATTAATAGACTCTGACTCTCAAGGAAGATATGTTATTATTGAATTAGAGTTGTATGGTAAGAAACTTCTTATAGTGAGTTTGTATGCTCCTAACCAACAACAAAAGCAGTTTTATACGTTTTTACATCAAAGATTAATTTCATTGGATTATAAATCTGTTATTATGATGGGAGATTGGAATGGTGTTTTAGATTTAAATAAGGACAAGAAAGGACTTTCCAAGCTTTCCAATCAGGCTAAACTACCCAAGGCGTTTTTTGACTTGAAAGATGATCTGGAATTGAAAAATATTTGGCAGGAACGAAATGTGGAAGAAAGAGACTTTACTTTTTTTTTTATGACAGGCATCAGTCATTTCAAGAATTGATTTTTTTTTAATTACTACTGATTTATATTTTAGTGTTAAGAATGCCAACTTCCGGTGGATCTGCGCGGGCGATGGCGGCTACTTTGTAGCCGTCCTCCTGGGTAAGTGTAATGAATCGCTATGAACAGCGTACATCAGCTGTTCAGCGGTTCAAAATCCCCCTCCCGGGCAAAGGGGGGGGAAGAGGGTTGTCTGAATAGTGGTAGAGCCTCTTATGTACCCCCAATTTTTCTTTTTTTGGGGGGTGACAGAGTGCTCCCATGGAGTTCAGACTGTACTCCGCTTCCCAGCTGCTTTTGTCCTAGGGACAAAACAAGCCGTTGCAACCACCTCCGCGCTTAAAGGGATCTGGTGAGTTTTTCTTAAAAGCGGACAGAGTTGATTAGAGGATTTATTTTTTGCTTTCTTTGATTTTATATGTATTTTAAGTTTGAAGGCTTATTTTTACGTTTATATTCTCTCCTTTTACTTTTTACTTTTTGGTGAAAGGGAAAGTAAAATGGCGATCGGCAGACTTTCGGGCGTTTTTTTTTTTTTTTTTTTTGGAAGCTAGAATGCCGATCGGCTTCTTTTACTTTCTCTTTTCCTTTTTTTTTTTAAAAAAAAAATTTTTAGTTTTGTTTTTTTGTATTTTTATTAGTTAGGCTTTCTGGTGAGTAAACATTATTGTTTTTGCTTGACTTTTTTTGTTTTGTTTTTTGCTTTAAAAGGTAGGCTTTTTGGTGTTTCCTCCTCTCCTTTTTTTTAATGATTGGAATGGATATTTTAATTCCTTTTTTCTTTTTCTTTTTTTTATATAATTTCCCCCCCCCCTTTTTTTTTAATTATAATGATTTTCCTTTGAGGAAGTTATGATTTTTTTTTTGAAGGAATTTTTGTAACTCTTGAGAAGGAGTAAAGTTTCTTTTTTTTTTAAAGATGGCTCCAAAGCGTCCAGGGACTTTTACAGTTTCTAAATCAATAGTTCCACCTTCTTCTGTGGTCCAGCCAACAATTGTGAAGGATTTGCAAGACATGATGGGAAATGTTACAACTCAAATTAGGGTAGAAATGAAATATTTAGAGTTAACTCTGTGGTGGCAGTGCAAAAGAATTTGCCAAGAGATGTGGTAATTTACTTTGGGAAAAGATCTCTATGCAATGAAATTATACAAGCTTTTTATAAGAAGAGATTTCAAATTGCTTCACAAGATGTTATAATCTTAAAGGAGATCCCATTTAAAATTTTAAGAAGAAGAAAGGAGTTTGCTTTTCTAGCAGACGAACTTAAAAAGAGACGAATTTCATTCAGATGGGATGTTCCGATTGGAATGGTGGTGAACTACCTGGGGATATGTTATAGACTTAATACAGTTTCCCAAGCAAAAGATTTTTATACTTCGGTTCTGGGGGTATGTTCATCGCCATTTATTAAGTTTAAAACCTTGGAAGAAAGGAATGTAGAATTACAGTTTGAAGACCCTAAAATTGGGGAACATTTGTTTGAGAGGTCTCAACACGTCCAGATTGAGGAGCAAAAGATAACTTGTGTAGCACATAACTGCAAAGAAAAGCAACAACAGAAGAAGATTAAGGAAGCCTCACATCTAGTGGTTCTTGAACCTGCGGGAGAAGCAAGATTTATAAAGCCTTTGGAGCAATCTTTAAAGGTGGAATTGTTGTCTGAAATGGAAAATGGGAAATCTCAGCTTGAGGGGTCTCAACAAGCTGAGAGGAAGGGACAGAGGATAACTTACGCAACATATAAAGAAAAAGACCAACAGAATGAGGAGTTTAAGGAATCCCCATGTGTATTGGCTTCTGAGTCGTTGGGAGATTCAGCAATTTTGGAGCAATCTTTAAAGGCTGAGCTTAAAGCATATCTTTTGAGCTTGATAAGCTTAAAGACGGAGACTGAGAATGAAAATGGATAATTGAGACTGATAATAATATGATAACGGATGGAGAGTGAAAATGGACAACTGAGACTGATAAAGATTGTGTTTTTTGTGGATGGAATTTGTTATTGGCGAAGATTTAAATGTTTAATGTGATTATTGTGGATGGAATTTGTTATTGT